AACCTGGACGTGTCTGGTATCTACCACTTGGGGCAGTAAGGAACCCTTATAAGCCAGGAAAGGCACGACTGATTTGTGATGCTGCAGCCCGAGTGAATGGCGTTTCTTTAAACGATCTAATGCTAAAAGGGCCAGACATGTTGACCGCTCTACCTACCGTTCTACTGCGTTTCTGGCAGAAGCCGTGGCATTCTGTGGAGACATAAAGGAAATGTTCCACCCATTCCGGGTCCGGAAAAGGGACAAACAAGCGCAGAGGTTCGTATTCCGAGAGTGTCCTGAGCAGCCACCGCAAGTTTTGACGTAGGACTGCGTCTGTGATTTCTATATTGGGGAACACTTTGTGAAAACCGAAAATGGAACATGTAACGAAATTATGAAAGATTTTGAACGTTAATAACTCAGCTGCATCTGGACCAATTTTAATAATTTTATCACCAATCGATCAGAAATATTTCTATGCATCGATAGCAGTGCTGTTGATTTTTGACAAGAAACTATCGAAAAAGTAGTTGATGGTAGTAACTAGCTGGGTGAACACTGAAATTCTGCGCCCTTCCAACCTGTCCCAGACACCAGTTCAATCCCTGTACAGCAGCAGACGGGCCGAGACTCTTGCGAGTGCTCAATCATTGAACCAAAGAATATGGGATTGTCCGTTCCGATTTGCTGATCAAGCTGACTACACGTCATCATCTTCCAAAGGCTGTAAGCCTGTAATACCATCCGCCCTTTTCAGGGCCACCAAGACTTTTCAAAAGTAAAATTTCTGAACATGTCCCAACTAAAATTCATTGCAAAAGGTTCTTTTCAGGGCAATCATAGTCATACTAAATAGTATAAACAAAGAGAACCCCGATAAAATTCCTATTCCTATACAAAACACAAGCTCCTGCTGCAGTTAACAAATAACGTTTATTATATAAGAAAACGTAGTCCTAGGTCACAATTGCGTACAACCCCATAGGGCTGTCCCTTGTCGTATATGTGATGGAAAACCACAACGTTGACGACTATCTGGGCAGTGTGGAGACGGTAGAAGAAGCGGTAGAGCTGATGGAGGAAGTGAAGCTTGTGCATTCCAAGGCTGGGATGGAGATTCGAAACTTTTCTTCCGAACATAAATATTCACCCACCATACCAGGATGCTCAGAAATTGATTCAAAGACCATCAGGTGAACAGCGATCTTCATAAATAATCATACCTTCTTTACATGTTTGAACAGCAGAATCGTCCGGGACCTCTTCTCGTGGTTCGAACTCGTTACCCGATGCTGGATTGCGAATCACCGAAGCAAACACAATTTGCACACGCACACATAACATTGCGTGTTGTGCTAAGCGTGTTTCGAGTATCTAGTTTGAAACGATTTTGAAACGCAGCATTGCGAACGGCCTTATCAGATATTTTTTAGATATTAAATTTTCTCGATTGGGCTCAAGCATAGAGCTTTGCGTTGACGTTTCAGCCTCTTCCTCTATCTAGCACACGGGAATAAATGGATTCATTGTTTTTCCACTAGACTGTTAACCTCTTGCTTGCTCTTCTTCGATTCATATGTGCAGAAGTGTGCCTCGGTTAATTGTCAAAAAGCCTTAAAAAGAGTCACGCTCAATGCATCCGGGGTTTGATCCGTTGGGGTAAATCTGACCGTTAGACAATAGATTTGGCAGTCACCATATTAAATCCGGATGCACCTGAGAGTCGATGGTTTTGAAACAGTTTACCATTGGGGAAGATGCATAAATGACGTAGAATTTTAAGGTGACCAGTCATGTATAAAAATACGTTACATAACTCAACATTCCTATATAGCAGTGATGCCACATATACAGATTTTTGACGTAGGACTACGTCTGTGGTGTCTATATGGGGGTATACTTTGTGAAAACCGAAATTGGAACATGTAACGAAATCATGAAAGATTTTGAATGTGAATAACTCAGCTGCCCCTGGACCAATTTTATTAATTTTATCAGCAATCAATCAAAAATATTTCTACGCATCTGCTTAAATTAAAACTTTACCGTTATTTAAAATGTCACTATTGAAAATGGTACGAATGTGCAACTTTTGCTATGATGATTAAAATTATCACCGATTGCCTGCGAAAAGCGATTTCCTTAACACAGATTTCAAAGTTGGATAAAATCCGGTCTCAATCACCGCGTGATGAGTGGTGGTGTTCTCCAGCACACAACGAGAGGCTCCTCGCAAGCAGCTAGCTATCAAGGCTACCCTCAATCGATTATATTTATTAATTCTGATAAATAATCATTCCTTACTTTTGAGCAGCTTGAATTCAATCTGTGAGCATCAAACCCAAAACGTTTTGTTCGCTAAATAAAATATGATTGTATTATATTCAAATGGGCTTGGAATCTTTTGAATGGATCTCTGATGGTCAGATGCCCTCATTTCTCGTTGGAAGGGATATTAGTTTCCCTTTGTTTAATTAACCATGTCATATGGTAACAGATACAATTTTAAATTAACTATATTTGTATTATTTGTATTATTTTATATTTGTGGGGCCTCATAGCCTAGTCAGTAAAGGCACGGTATTACCAAGCCGGAGGCGGCGGGTTCGATTCCCGGTCCGGTCGAGGGAATCTTTCGGGTTGGAAATTTTCTCGACTTCCCTGGGCATAGAGTATCATTGTGCTTGCCACACAATATACAAATTCATGCATTGGTATTGGCATCGAAAGCTCTCAATTAATAACTGTGGAAGTGCATTTAGAACACTAAGTTGAGAGCACGCAATAAGCTAATATGCGCTAAGCAATAAGCTTGAAATGCGAATAAGAAGAAGAAGAAGATATTTGTATTTCAAATCGGTAAACAATTCATTTTAGAAAACCCAGGAAATTTTCCGTTGGAAGCAGATTTGCCTTTCACTACTACTAAATTTGTTGTATTTTCTGAATTGTAGAAAAGATCCAAATCATTTAAAAAATCAAGATTATAGTATTTCGTGCTCTTAAAACACGGCAAATTATTTACATAGCAAATTTTAGTTATTTTTCAAGATTCAAAACATTGAACAAACTCCTTCGGAACTATGAATGAACTCAATGAAGATTTAGGTAAATCCACCCTTAGACCATAACAAATAAATTACTGTACCCGTTCGACTTTGGCACAATTTGCATTGGCCAAAAAAACACAAAACCGTTCGTTTTTGGCACTGGGTTCGGTTTTAGCACCATGCCAAAATCGAGCGAATTTTGAAAATAATGTAGGGGAATTTACGTATTCTCGTCAATCTAAGCAGCGTCTGCACTTCTACTAGCATTTTCTCAGCGTCACGCACATATATGATGTGTCTGTTTGTTTACATTCATCTGCTGCTTGCTTTTCTATCCATTCCAATCGACAGAATTTTTCAAAACGTTTTGAAAGCGTTTTTACAACGCTCCAAACTTCTCAGGTGAGTGTGACTATTGTCGGCAGCCTCTTTTTCTTCGGCAACCTTCCCATTAGAACTGCGTGTTAACCAGCTGTTCTATTATCGGCAACTCGAAATCAACCCCATTTTGTAGTGCGTATGCTTATTTGAAGAAAAATGTAGCATTACTGGATTGCTCGATCGTTCAAATATAATCAGATGGAAGCTGAAAGGCTAAACAATCGTTTGGACACATTCAGGGAAGTGCGTTGATGGGAAAACATAGTGAAATTAACGTTTAAATTTTGGTTGCCGAAAACAGTCAATGGGTGCCGAAGCCAACATCTACCCTACTTTTGTTCCATGTGATTATAATTTTTATTAAAAGAATAATTATTAATAACGTCTATGTAATAAAAATGACCCACGGTGGTTCATAATCATCGAAATCATAAATTAAATTTAAAATTAAAACCGTTCGATTTTGGCAACACTAAATTTTCGGGCTTGTTGCCAAAATACAGAGTTTTTTAACAGATTTTTGTCAGCCAGATACAGATTAAAAAGATTATTTGCCATGAAAATACAGATTGAAAATCAATAAAATGTGGCATCACTGCTGTATAGTTCAGTTGAGTTCATGCACTGATGTAAAGAGCGGGGGTCAATCTTCGCTTTCCTGTCAAACTTTCGTCAGTGCATGAACTCAAATTTATCGGTGCACTCGTCCATTGCATATAACATTACATTTCAAAACACCTGGTATGCAACATATAACGTATTTCTCCATTCAACGTTCAGAATTATTTTTTTCGTAGGAACCCTCAAGGTGAATGCCATACCCAAATCTGAACAAGTATTAGCTACTCCTTACCATCCCTCTCCAACTGGGAAGCTTTCTACTCTCTATATACAATTTTCACACTGACATCTATTCATATAAAATGACCACTAGTCTGTTATTTGAAACTTGGCATCTTCAACTATGTAAAATCGTTAACTTCACACAGAAATACCTAATACAAACATAAAATAGTTAAACAAGTATTAGCTGCCAATGAGAACGGAGGGAAAGGAAGGCAATCCTGTTTCACTGCGTTCAGCTGCTGTACGACAGAGAGAGAGAGAGAGAGAGTGACAGTGTGAACCAACCCTCGAAGTCCGAACAAAGAAAAACTCTTTCGCAAAACAGAACTTCACAAAACTCCTTTATTGTCGATTCTGCTCTTGACACATTTAACGTGATTGAAATAGTAGAGAAAAAGTTTCGTATGATAAGTTAGTTCTACAAACTACTCCGGCGAATGCGAGTGTGAGATGGATGATGAAGATGAAGATGGATGCTTTGTATTTCCAAAGTGTGGTGCGTTGAAATAAGGTAGTGAACGGGATGACTTCTACTACTCTGTGAGTATATCTTATTCAGGGGTTTGAGGGGGAGGGGTGCGATTGTCAGTTTGTAAATACGGATAGAACGATCATCTTTTCTGTTTTTTTTTTTTGCTGTTGCCGACTCTAGCGATACTTGGACAGCACAAGTTTCCGTCTGTTCCGGGGCAAAACGGTGGACGACGGGTTGTCTACTACTGCAGCTGCAGCCGGTGTTACCTTGTCTTTGGTGGACTTTCTGCCAAAAGTCGACGGTTCGATGGGGGTCGCGACGGTCGGGATGTTGATCAACCGGTTGTCGAATGGCATCCCGGTCAGTTCGTAGATCTGAAGATGGATGCGACACGGAGGTCCGTCAGTGTGATTTGCTACTTGAAATGGGTGATGGTGGAAGTTCTGTTTTCGATTTCTACGTCGATCGTCCATGATTCATTACAGAGGCCCTTTTAAATCGAATCGAACAACACTTGTCGCGACATCGTTCTCGGTAATTTGCAAATGCGAAAATCGATGGCAATAATTTATTAAGCGAATTGTTCGCCGTCCCGGAAACTTTTGTTTTAAATAATTAAAATTTTAATTAATGATTTGCTGTCGATTTCGCTTCAGTTGGCAGGGAAAATAAATCATACTTTTGTGATTGTGTGGAAACAAACTTCCCCGAATTGAGTCATCCCAGCAGAAAAGTTGAAACGGGACGAGCACAATTCGATTATGAACCCATCCCGTCTCGATTCCATTCAATTCAATTAGGAAGAATGACATGCACCTCCTCGTACTGGAACCACCTTTTTGCCGGTACTTTGATTTTATTTTCCGTCGCATCACGGCGAACAACAATCGTAGCCCGAAACGTAAAAGTTCGAACTCATGCACACCATGGAACCGATACGAAATCGAAATGAAAATGAAAATCACAGCATGAAATAAAATTCAACCAGAGCGGGAGCCGCCCCCGAAAATCATGAACGAAAATTGAATTATGTAAATATGTAATTCGAGATTCATCCCGTAGGCCCTATATCAGCAATATTATTACCGTTATCGTTATCCCCAATACCATCATCCTCATAACGGTCGACCCGCTGCCGGGTACCCTTCTTACCTTATTTGCACAGTCGAAACAGGTCGAAACCACCTTCGATATCACATTCATCAGGTTCTTCGTCTCCTGGATGACGTGGTCGACCTTGACGAAGGTAGCGGCCTTGCCGACGGTCGGATCCTTGACGGTAAACTGCAGCGTTTGCACGTAGGTTGGCACTTTGTCCAGGTGATCGAGTAGCTCCTTCTTCGGGGCCCCGGCCGGAACCTGGTAGGAGAACTGGCGGACCACCTTGTACAGCCGGTTGGCCTCTTCGGCGAAGTACTCGGCCTGGGTGAACAGGTCCTGCGTCGTCCGGAGCGTTCCCTCGCCCTTGGTGAACTGGTACATCGAGAAGGCCATCGCCGACATGTTCTTCGCCCTGCAGGGGGGAAAGAGAGGAATTTGATTCGTTATTGTATGTTTATCAAATATGTTATGGTTTGAAAGAAAGAGTCGCCACGTTGCTTGTGGGCAGCCCTACTTTTGCTCAATAAAACAGATGAAATTATCATTAATAAGTAAAAAAAATCTCCTTAAAATTGATCGGGTTGCTCCTTAAATGATTGATCAAAATATGTTAAAAATCTTAAAATGTTCAGTAAATATTTAAAGTACGCTCCCTAAAATAGAGAAAACTGTACATTAAGCATTTGAAAATGCTCCTTAGTATGCACCGCTTTGCACCATTTTGAAGTGTAATTGTACCATATATCATCGGAAAAGCTGCTGTAGAAAGGTTAATAAGTACCATGAAATCAGCTGAAATGTACAGTAAAAATGCACAAATGCACACAATGATTTACTGAACATTTCAGCTGATTTCATGGTACTTATTAACCTTTCTACAGCAGCTTTTCCGATGATATATGGTACAATTCCACTTCAAAATGGTGCAAAGCGGTGCATACTAAGGAGCATTTTCAAATGCTTAATGTACAGTTTTCTCTATTTTAGGGAGCGTACTTTAAATATTTACTGAGCCTTTTAAGATTTTTAACGTATTTTGATCAATCATTTAAGGAGCAATCCGATCTATTTTAAGGAGATTTTTTTTACTTATTAAGGAACATCGTCATTGTTTAATGATTCATTTACCTTTTTACCTTGCTTGTGGACGCACTTTTTTTATTTGAACTCAGAAATTTTGTTTGTGATTTAAAATGTTCAGTTCTCTTTCTCGCTAGCATGAACACTTGATAATTGGATTTGATTTATGAAAGGTTTTTCAAGCGCATTTTGCACCACTCCTGTATTGAAAATAATCCCTCAGAAACTTTTTCGCTCTGGCCAGTAAAAACATAGACGGTAATTTACGTATTCTCATCAATTTAAGCAGCGTCCACGCTTCTATGAACTTTTTCTCGACGTAACATACACACTTGCAGTGTTTATTTGTTTACATTCATCTGCTGCCTGCTGTTATATCCATTCCAATTGATAGAATTCGATTGATGGATAAAAATCGATTTAAAACGCTTTTTCAACGCTCCAAGCTTCTCAGGTGAATGTGACTATTGTCGAAAACCTTTCCATTTGAACTGCATGTTAATCTGCTGTTCCATTATCGGCAATTCGGGGGAGAGGTAGCTCATCGATTCTTCCGGTTCGCCTCCTAGCATCGTGCTATAAGGTACCAAGCGATAACCAGGTTAGTTGATCGATAGCTCGATGACGTCATTTCGTTGACGTATGCAATGGGAAATTCTCATAGCAGGCGTTGACGATGGGACGTTGTCGAGTTGTTGAATAGCAACTATCGTGGTAACTCACCGATTACCTGTCGATCTGCCAAATTTGGAAAGACGTCTGCATTGAATTGTCTCATATAATAATATTCCGCCCACTATATCACAAGAAATTGCGAGTAGCTGAGTGGAATGGAGATAAGTTAAGCATTGGGTACAGGACCAAGTCTCCCCTGGGTGGTGCCAGAAGATGAGCGCAATAGAATCATCAAGTTGCCATAAGGCACGGAATGAGACTATTGCATGGCTGGGTAGTCAAAGTCTTCCATTCGTTTGTCATTTCAGGTGGATTAGAGCAGGTTTAGGTTTAGGGTGGGCGTTGGCCAGATTTGGATTTTTCAGATGTTATCCTGGATAGGACCCTGGCATTGAACGTCGCGTGAAAGTGGAACTTAATGAAGGCCTAAGTACTTTTTCGTAGTTTTTAGTTTTCGGATTTCAAAGATCGTCGGTTACAGTGGCCTGCTTACTGAGCAGAAAAATGCGGTCCCAGGTCCTTACATATCAAAGAGATTTATGGTAAAATCGCTTGTGTATCGTGTATTTTGCGAAACTCGTTGTTGTCGTTGGTTCCGGGTTTGAATGGATACAAAAATTTGAGCAACGGTATTATGTGCGTTTTTGCTTACTGAGCAGAACATCATGAGTCTAATCTCAGGCCCATCCACATTCAAGATTCCCCTAATAAACGTGTACCATATACTGACGATATCTTAGATGGTGCGACCATACCACATAAAATTGGGATGATATCCCGAATTGGTGGTTAGGCGCATCTTATGGTTATTGTTTATGCGGGTCGTCAATCGTTTTATTTGTTAATATGACTACATGGTAATAACAGCAACTCGGTGATTAAAAAGGTGCTCGTCTGCCTAGTGCAAACGTTTTTGCTTACTGAGCAGAAGACCGTGGGTTTAGTCCCAAGCTCCTTCGCGTTATATGCAAGGTTGCAAATACTCATTTCAGCTACAATAATTTTTTTCGGAATAATAAAACCAAAAGATGGTATGATGGCATGTTTTAGTTGTGACTTACAGGAGGAGGTTGCAAGGTATGCGTTTGAAACATAGAACCTGTAAATTTTGCTTTCTATGAGTCACAATCAGTGATTTGCTGATCGCTGAGTGAGTGAGTGTGTGAAAAATCGCTGATTGTGACTCTCATGAAGTGAAGTAAACAGGTTTAATATGTCAAACACATTCTTTGCAACCTCTTCTTGTATCCTACCAATTCAAGATGTGATCATGGCATCTAATTATTTCATAATTTAAAAAAACATTGTTTTGGCTGAAATGAGAATTTGCAACCTTGGTTATATGATCGTTAGGACATCAATTCAGCTTATCGTTTACCAAAACGAACCGTGCTGCAAACCCAACCCTCTTACCCAACATCCCTGTGATTCATCGTGGAAGTGCAGAGGACTCCTCGGCTTCCATCAAAGCGAGTGTCACGTCAACACATTCCTACCCATTCCTTTCTTGACCTGCGTTCAGGCGCGGCTGGCGCTGGTATTGCCTAATTCGAGATCACCAGTTTTTACACATTGAGGATGATTGCTAGTCCCAAGCATCGTCTATTGGTTCTCTGTGTAATTACAGCTGATCTGGCAGTAACAGAGTAGCAACCGTGGGCGGTCAATCAAGCTCAAGCTCAAGCTCCATTATCGGCAACTCGAAATCAGCAAAATTTTGTAATGCGTTCAATGTTCCATTTCAAGAAAAACCTAACAAAATGCATTTTATTAGTCGCAAACACTCAATCAGATTAAAGCTTAACGACTAAGGAATCGTTTGAATACATTCAGCGAAGTGTTTTGGTGAAAAAAATGCAGTGAAAATACCGTATAAATTTTAGTTGCCGCAAACATTCAATGGGTACCGAAGCCGACATTTACCATAGGTATAGCATGGAAAATCATTTACATTCATTTCATGTATTCATTTACATTCATTTGCTTATAACTTTTGTCATCAATAGCATTCCGCAAAATGATGTATAGAATTTCAGTAGGTTTTGTTATTAGCTGCAACTTTTGCCCATAACTCAAATCTGTGTAAATACATTCACTAAAAAACAGTAGTGGATTCGTGTTTTTTTTTTAGGAACCGCAGCTCATCAGCTCTACAGCTTTCCCCTGAAGAACGCGTTTTTCACTGAGTTCTACCCACCGATTTTTCTCGGCGGCTTTTCAACCAAACTGTCTGATTTTCTGCAAGTGAGTAGTTCTTCATTGACACTAGTCAGTACCGCTTACCAACAGAGATGCCAGATTATTTTCTATGCAATTCCGTAGACTTATTCAAATCTACGGATTTCTACGGATTTTTTTAGTCGAAGGTGATATTTTTTTTAGTTCTAAGGTAATATTTTACGTTAAATGATAAATCGATGAAAGACATTTTGAAAAAAATACTAGGGACAGCCCTCTGGGGTTGTATGCAATGGTGACGTCGGACTACGTGGTCTTATATAATAAATGTTATTTTAACTGCAGCAGGACTTGTGTTTTGTGTAGGAATAGGTATTTGGGAGGGGGTTCTCTCTTTTTGTACTCTTTAGTATGACTGTGATTGCCTTGAAAAGAAGCTTTTGATATGAATTTTAGTTGGGACATGTTTAGAAATTTAACTCTTCTGGAAAATCTTGGTGGCCCTGAAAAGGGCCGATAGTAGTACAGGCATGAATACCATGATACTGTTGCACCTGTAGTTTTTGGCATACTTTCACTGATTGCTTCCCGGGAATCCTTATTCAGCCATAGCAAGATGTGCGCGTGAGGACTTCCACGGTGCTGAAATTCAATCGTGTCAACCAGCTTGTTGAAGTACACGCAGCACGTCACTGGATCATCATTCATCAGAGTTGCTCTTTGTAGTGCAGTCAATTCCTGGATAGGATCTGTTAAGTCATCGCCATTGTGTCCTTCTGACAATCGATGTAGGATATTCAACAAATGGGCCACTTCATCTCACTTGCACTGAGTGTGAGAAACATCGTACGCTTTCCCAATTGTCGCATCATGGTGAACAAATTTCTCTTCCTTTGTTGCCAATACTGTACTGAATTCGGTATTGATTTGAGGAAGGATAGATTCGCTCAATGCACTGCTCCATGAATAAGGCGGTCCTTAAGGTCCACGTGTAATGTTTGCGGTCGCTGTGCACTTAAAAGTACATTGCAAACCTTCGGAAACTCTAAGTCGAAGAACTTTCATTGTCATATACAACAAATGTGGTTTGGCCACAGGCCTGTCTTGACGACGAGTTTCACTGGATGCCATCATGAAATATGTCACCCGAATCCCTGGCTTGAATTTCCGTAGATGGCCGAAACAAATGGCAGGAAAAGCTATCTTTTCGCCGTGCTCGTCATATATTAAAGACAGAGGAACCCTGTTTTGCGCGGGAGCGATCTCCAGGCATTTGTCCTTATTCCAAAGGAGCGTTTCCTGTTGCCCAAGCAGCAATTCTGTCTCATTATACACGGCAATGGTGCGCAGCTCAATTTGCGGATCCACTGCAGGGGTTTCAAGACAATCTATGGCGATCTGATCAATTGTGATCCCGTAGTGGTGGTACAGTGGTGTCGTAATCTAATAAGAAAGCCACGCTTTAACCGTATATACTTT